TTTTTTTTATATTTCACTTTAAAATTTATTAACATTCTAATGGCAAATGAAAGTTTACATATTTCCGTTTACTATTAGATCAATCAATATGAACTTCACTTTTTCTTTTATTTTACACAGATCTAACTAGTCATAATTTGTGTAAAATTCATATACTCTTTCAAGATAAGAACCCCCCTCCCCCTTTAGCTAAACTCCTCTTCAGAGTATCCTCTTCTTAATACTTTTGCCCACGAAACTCGACAAGTATTTAATAATTTTTCAAAATATTCATAGTTGAAATACTTCGGCAAGCTCTTATTTAGTTAACTGGCGTCTCTCGTATCAATTTCGCCAGCTCTTGTTTTTCAGTTCACCCGACAAAAGTTGAGTTTATTGCAAATGCCCCCCGCACTCCAATGGGGGCATTGTCCGAATGGCTTCCATTCAAAAATCCAACGTCGTCGTCGACATTTCACTTAAAGTGCAAAGTTTTGTGGCTTTGTGGGCGTATGCGAATGTTTCATGAAGGCGGGGCCGAACTCCTCTCCCCTCTCCCCACCCCCTCTCCGTTCTGCAGTCTGCAATTCATGTTGGCGCTACGCTCTATGCTGTAAGCGTATTTTAATGAAATTTGCCGCAAAGATTTATGTGACATTTTAATTTAACGTGTCGAGTTGAAGTTGTTCTTTATATATGTACGTATATATAGTATAATATATATATATATATATATTTTTTTTTACTTTGTGTTACGCCCAGAGTCACATACTTTCTTTATCCCTGCGTCGTCGGCGTCGTCGGGCCGTTGTTTGTGTCTGGATCCTGAATGCTCGGAACTTTTGTGCAAGTGTCGCATTGGTCCGTGCATTCTGAGTTTGCATTCAACTGAATCTGCTTGGCGCCCTCTGCACTGCCCGGATAGGGAAATATTTTATTGTGCTGCGGTTTTGCGGGCTTCATTTCGACTCCTGGCAGCAGCCGCCCGGCCTGAAGAAGATCTGGCTGGGGCAGTCGCCAAGACGATGGCAAAGTTTTGCAACTCTGACATTTCGAGGACACTGATGGCTCGCTCCGTTTTCTCGTAAATTGAATGCCATCGAAGGGCTGAGCAGTAAACAGCGGGACGTTGCTCAATTGGCAAGGGGCACTGAGCAGAGGGCATATGCATTTGTGTTCTCAGTTATTTTTAAGTAATTAAAAGTTATCTCTGCACTAAGCTCTGATCTGAAGAAGAAGTTGTTGAAGCATATTTATTTTTAATTGGAAACGAAAATTGCAAAATATATTTCGATTAAATAGTAAAAGGAAATTTCGACCTATGTGTGATGTAGAAACTGTCCATCAAATATATATTTATAGCAGAAAATTATACATAAATATTTATGGGAAACTAGCTGCTATTTTCTTTACACTATTATATATCGAGTGCCAGCAGCAGCCAAGCTCTGCCCTACAACCTGTCTACACAAGATCTACTTTCAGACTGACTCTGCTCTGGCAGCATCCTCAGTAATGTACCTACATATACACACATCGTACAACTAGTACTCTCTCAAGATGCAGCCCACACATAGTCACTCTCTCTCTCTCTCATATTCCATTCCACTTGATCCCCTACCGCATATACACACCCATACACACACCCATACTCTCTCTCTCTCTCTCTCTCTCTCTCTCTCTCTCCCTCTCTCTTTATCTATCTCTCTCTTTCTCACTCATTCCCATACCCAAGATGATCGCCCGTGTATGAGGACACAAGCCCACACATTCACAGCTAGTAGTAGTACTAGGAAGTACTACACTATCACTATCTCTCTCTCTCTCTCTCTCTCTGTCTCTCACTCCATCCATCCGAAACTTCCATGACCCAACGCACATATTCACCCATACACATGCCCAACCATACACACACAGACAGCCACGCTCACATTTAGTTTGAGTGTTCGCAGTAGTAACCTCTCTCACTCTCTCCCTCTTAATTTCACTCATTCCCATACCATAGACGGTTGCGATCGTAAACATAATGTACACATAGCATGCAAATCTCACACACACGTACACTTTGGCATAAGCTTTCCATTGCTACTGCTATGAAGGCAGTACACGCTCTATCGCTCTCTCTCTCTCTTTCACTCATTCCCATACCCAAAATGATCGTTCGTATATCAGAATACAAAGCCACACATACACACAGCTTGTCATAAATCTTCCACTACTRCTACTTAGGAGGTACTACACTCTCTTTTCTCTCTCTCTCTTTCTGTAAATTCAACACACTAAACTTTAACTTAATTCGCTTGTTCATGCACGACTTAAATGAGTGATTTACTGCAAGTTCTGGAAGCAGTTTACTTTCTCTATCTTGCTCGCAATTCTTGAATTTTACAATTAACTAAATGCAGAAATATATAACTACTTATGTCCTAGTATTTTATAGCATAAAATTCATAATAAATATTTATGAAATATATAGAAACTTCTGCCATTATCATTAAAAAAAAAATCGTATCCAAAGGCATCTCTTAATACTTCCAATTACCTCTGCACGTTTAGTAATAATAAAAAATCAAAAGAAAGCAACGTTTCTCTCTGTAAATCTGTTATGGGAATTTGCTCTGATCTGCTGTAGCATAATATATTGCTGCAAACATCGCCGTCAGAGTTGTCAGAGTAACTGCAACGATTTCTGTGCATTTGACCATGTTGCAAGCTTATAATTTATGCACAGAATGTTGCAAAACATTGCCAAGTTTTGGCTGACAAAACTGCAAAGAAAACTCTGTGTGCATGGCCAACATCAGACGCAGAAACACAAACACACACTCAGGCACACACACACATATATATACACACATATACACACACACACACACACGTGGAGAGGGAAAAACTGAAGTAAAATATCAAACAAGTTTTTGCCAAAAGATAAATATTTATGTCCACCTACAAAACGAGCACAACTACTAAGCCCGGAAAACTTGAGCGCACGTTTACACCGATTGCCATTAAGAGTTCAAAAGTGGGCGACACGATTTCGTGATTACAGTGCACAAAACGCAATACACCCAACTGCAGCGGATGTGAGGAGAGAGCGAGAGAGAGAGTGAGAGACAGGGATAAGCATCTGTGTGTGTGTGTACGGTGCTCTGCTTTTATTGAGTACATTTTGTGGGTACAATTGGGATCATTTCGAGACACTTGAATTCAGTTGGGACTATTTTGATACGGTACATTTAAAATTGGTTAGAAAAAAATAAGTAAAATTGCATTTATTGGACACATTGGGATATGACTTTGGTACACTCTGAGGCAGTAGAGTACACCTTTTCAATGGAATTGTTTGAGCATTATTTTGAGTACATTTAACATCATTTAGGTACATTTATTTCTACTTTGGTACATTTTAGTTCGTTTCAGTGAATGTTAGTATAATTTTAGGTACATTATAATCTAGTGAATCTCCGACTGTCTACAAAAAGGCTTTACTTTTTAGTTCATTTCAGTACATTTTTATAACATTTTAGGTACATCACTTACATAGGTACATTTTAATCTACAAAAAGGTTTTAGTATATTTTACAACACACACTTTAATTCAATTTAAATGAAAATTAATATTTGACTTCTATCTGCTTGACTCATAAAATCAAATCACAAAATAAATGATACTTCAAAACACACCTATATTATATTAAAAGGTATGTTTCTAGAATTTTTTGGGGGAAGAAAACACACATAAAATTATTTATCCCAAATTTGGACTATAATTTGAACATAATAAATCATTTTATGCAATTTCTTATCAATAATAAATTTTGCATACAATTACATACATAATTATTTGATAAATTATATATGTATACTTACATGTTAACCACATAAATATAGAACAAAAAACCCAATTCGGAAACTTAAAAATAATAAATTAAAAAAGAAACTAATAATAAAATAAATAAATAAATAAACAATAATAAAAGAAAATATTCTTCCATTTGCAATTAAGTTTGGTACAGATTCACTTCCACTTTGGTACATTTGCATCTTACTCGCTTAAAGCATCTATATGCATACGCATACCTACTTATACACACGTATGCATATATATTTTTTCCCCAAATACCAACAGTGATGTAAGGTTAGCGGATGGCCAGCATTGCAGTTGCAGCAGGAAAAGTTCAAAGCAGACGAAATGGCATAGAAGGAGAAAATTGCGTGCGCTCTGCACAAATTTTCGTACTTTAACGATAAGTTTTTGTCTTTGCTGGATGCTGATTGTTGTTGTTGTTGTTGCTGCCGTTGTTTTTCTACTGCTCGTTGCCAACTTCACTCAAGTTGCTGCCACGCCCATGACAACAATTGCACGCCCACACGGCCCTTTTGCCGTAGTGGTTGTTGTTCCCAATCCTTGAGAGCTTCACTTACACGAGAAAGATTCAACTTGGCTGCTTTAACTGTTGCTGCTACTCCTGCTCCTCCTGCTGCTACTCCTGCTACTCCTGCTGCTACTTCTGCTGCTGCCTGATGTCTAGACACTGTCGACATTGTTTCCAACAAACTTGCTCATTTAAGTAACATGTCATTCCTGCACCTTTTTTTTTTTTTTTTTTTGGCTCTCTGCTCTAAGTATCTGCTACTCTTACTTTTTCTCTCTCTCTTTTTCTTTCTCACTCTGTGAATTTTTTTTCATAGTGCGCTACCTTTTCGTAGCAGCTAACTACGCTGTTAATTTCTTCAAGCTTCCTTAGCTACAACTATATATATTTGTGTGTGTGAGTGTACCCATACATATTTATACTTGATATATGTATATGCTTTTCAAGTAGAAGTTTGCATTAGCTAAATCGGAAATTTTTCTTTTTAAAATATTCTAAATATTTAGTTAGCTTAATTATATATGATATCTTTGACCCAGATGATATGATGATGATATTTTATATAATTTTTTCTAGTTTTATGATAAATGTCAATAGCTCTTTAATAATAAATATTAAAGTATGTGTGTATATTTGATCAGTAAAAATAACGGTATGACTTTTAGTCTGACGTTAAGTTAGGAAAATAAAATTTACCTTGTTATGATATATAATATATACATATATAATGTCAGTTAACAGATATACCTTCAAATAAGCTTACTTTACGTTATGAAAAAACTTAAAAAAGATTTGCTTTCATTTTATGTATTTATAATATCATTTAAATGATATTAGCTTAAAGTGAAGTCTTATATAAAGTAGACCTAGGAGACTTGGGCTGAAATTTAGGCAATTGAGCATATTCGATTCAGATTCGTATGCCTATGTCTGAAATGTCTTAGCATTTTTCATTAGTTAAAGAAACTCTATAATGCTATTAAAGTATTGAAAAGATAAATTTTTATTTAATAATTGAGAATTGTATTTTACAGTTAATCCAATTGAAGAACTTAAGTGAATCTCCTTAGCAGAATTCCACTAGTCCACTCCACTCTCTCTCTCCCTCTCTTCTACCGCCCTCCCTCCTCCCCCTCGCATTTTCCACAAACAAAATATGTAAAAAAAAGTCAGCTCTACCAAAATCAAAATCCGCCTCCTCCAAAAGAAAAAAAAAGTAGACAGGTCATAAAAAAAGGGCACGCCTACGCCTTAAGCAGGACTCGACACGCGACAGGACACGACACCAATTGACTGCCATATGCACATAACTAAGCAGTTGCTCCCCAAACAGTTGACAACGGACCCGCGAGGCGGCTGGAGCAGAGGGGAGGGGTGTGGGGCTCTGTGTTTGGGGCTGCGACCTGATCGTCCGACTGCTGTCGCATTGCATATTTTATGCGGCTGACGAGGCGGGAGGTGGGCGTGGCAGTTGTGTGTGTTTCATTTTATTTTTTGCAGTTCTGCTGAATAAACTCCCAACTGAGTCAGCATAACTGGAACTGGAACTAGGCTGCTAACGGATTATGAGGACATGCCGCAGGACGTCAGGCTTAGTTTTCGAAGTCGCGTACGTGAATAACGGCATGGGCACGTAGAGGAGGGAGAGACAGACAGGCAGAGAGAGAGAGAGAGAGGGGGGGAGAGAGTGAGAGAGCGAGAGGTGTGTGGCGCTAGCCAGGGGGGGGAAATAGTAACTCGCCGCCATTATGAATAGAAGTAACGGAGAGCAGAGCCGAACCGAGCTGAGTTGAGCTGCGGACGAATAAAAAGTCGTAATGTGGCAAATAAAAAACGTTGCGAAACGAAAATGAAATTGTGGCATGCCCGCTGCTCCTGATGATGGTGATTTGTCCTGTCCTGTCCTGTTCTGTTTTTTTTTTTTTCTATTTTTTTGTTTGCTTTTGACATTTGCCAACTTTGTGTGGGTTAATAAAATGTTGTATTATGTCATATA